AGCAGAAGCGTAGTTGATGGACAAGTCAAAGGTCCGTAACATATGGTTGGACATTGGGATCAAGCAGAAGCGTAGTTGAGGGACAAGTCAAAGGTCCGTAACGTATGGTTGGACATTGGGATCAAGTAGAAGCATAGTTGAGGAACAAGCCAAGATTGGTAACGAATAGTAGTAAAGATAAGGACTGTAGCAGGAGAGACAAGAGCAAGATATTGTCTGGAGAAGACCACAATAATCTGACAAACAGGAAGTGCAAAGGCATGGCTTAAATAGGAAGTTCATTGGAGGAACAAGGAATTCAAACTTCACCAGAAACAATGCAGAAGGCAGGACTGTCTAATGGATCAGACAGGGTGCTGTCTAGCATCTCAGGTGGCTCAACAAGAACAGCTACTGCTGGAAGCAGCCGAGGCCATGGGTTCAGAACCCGGTCCTGACAATAAGATTGTGCGATCTGCTGGTGTGCTCGATGATATCAGATCATTAGCTGTACCCAATGTATGTCATCAAAACTGACATCATCAGGGGACCAGAACATAGGGTCTGACATTGCTCTCTTCCATTATAAAGACAGGCGGGACCACAGAGAACCAAGTCACTCTTATCATAAGTGCATATATAAGTTTTAAAAATAATTTAAACAAACTTGCTGCATCTTCTTTTATTTATTTATTTAGTTAGTCTATATGGTACATACCAAACATTCATTTATGCTCAATTTATTATATAACCTCAAAACACCCTTAAATGACACAAACCATAATATCTAAAATCAGAAAAAGATGAATCACTCTGGGACCCATCTAATTTTAAAATAAAAAAATAATATCTTACATAGTTACATAGTTAGTGCGGCTGAAAAAAGACAAAAGTCCATCTAGTTCAATCATAAAAAAGGAGAAAAAACCCAGCAAAGCATGATCCAATTTGCTCCTGCTGGGGAAAAATATTATTTCCTGATCACCCGAGAGGCAATCGAATATTCCCTAAATCAACTTTACCTATAAATGTTAGTATCTAGTTATATTATGTACAGTGGGGATCGAAAGTTTGGGCACCCCAGCTAAAAATTTGTATTAATGTGCATAAAGAAGCCAAGGAAAGATGGAAAAATCTCCAAAAGGCATCAAATTACAGATTAGACATTCTTATAATATGTTAGCAAAAGTTAGATTTTATTTCCATCATTTACACTTTCAAAATAACAGAAAACAAAAAAATGGCGTCTGCAAATGTTTGGGCACCCTGCAGAATTTATAGCATGCACTGCCCCCTTTGCAAAGCTGAGACCTGCCAGTGTCATGGATTGTTCTCAATCATCGTCTGGGAAGACCAGATGATGTCAATCTCAAAGGTTTTTAAATGCCCAGACTCATCTGACCTTGCCCCAACAATCAGCACCATGGGTTCTTCTAAGCAGTTGTCTAGAAAAACTGAAACTGAAAATAGTTGACGCTCACAAAGCTGGAGAAGGCTATAAGAAAGATAGCAAAGCGTTTTCAGATGTCAATATCCTCTGTTCGGAATGTAATTAAGAAATGGCAGTCATCAGGAACAGTGGAAGTTAAAGCAAGATCTGGAAGACCAAGAAAAAATATCAGACAGAACAGCTCGCAGGATTGTGAGAAAAACAATTCAAAACCCCACGTTTGACTGCACGATCCCTCCAGAAAGATCTGGCAGACACTGGAGTTGTGGTACACTATTCCACTATAAAGAGATACTTGTACAAATATGGTCTTCATGGAAGAGTCATCAGAAGAAAACCTCTTCTACGTCCTCACCACAAAAATCATCGTTTGAAGTTTGCAAATTAACATATAGACAAGCCTGATGCATTTTGGAAACAAGTTCTGTGGACCGATGAGGTTAAAATTGAACTTTTTGGCCGGAATGAGCAAAGGTACGTTTGGAGAAGAAGGGGCACAGAATTTAATGAAAAGAACCTCTGTCCAACTGTTAAGCATGGGGTTGGATCAATCATGCTTTGGGGTTGTGTTGCAGCCAGTGGCACAGGGAACATCTCACGAGTAGAAGGAAAAATGGATTCAATAAAATTTCAGCTAATTTTGGATGGTAACTTGATGCCATCTGTGAAAAAGCTGAAGTTAAAGAGAGGATGGCTTCTACAAATGGATAATGATCCTAAACACACCTCGAAATCCACGGGGGATTACATCAAGAGGCGTAAACTGAAGGTTTTGCCATGGCCTTCACAATCTCCTGACCTCAACATAATTGAAAATCTATGGATAGACCTTAAAAGAGCAGTGCGTGACAGACAGCCCAGAAATCTCAAAGAACTGGAAGACTTTTGTAAGGAAGAATGGGCAAAGATACCTCAAACAAGAATTGAAAGACTCTTGGCTGGCTACAAAAAGCATTTACAAGCTGTGATACTTGCCAAAGGGGGCAGTACAAGATATAACCTCTGCAGGGTGCCCAAACTTTTGCAGACGCCATTTTTTTGTTTTCTGTTATTTTGAAAGTGTAAATGATGGAAATAAAATCTAACTTTTGTTGAGATATTATAAGAATGTCTAATCTGTAATTTGATGCCTTTTGGAGATTTTTCCATCTTTCCTTGGCTTCTTTATGCACATTAAAACAAATTTGTAGCTGGGGTGCCCAAACTATTGATCCCCACTGTATATCTAGGAAAAAATCCATGCCTTTTTTTAAAGCAATCTACTGAGCTGGCCAGAACCAACTCTTGAGGGAGTCTATTCCACATTTTCACAGCTCTTACTGTGAAAAAACCTTTCCATATTTGGAGATTAAATCTCTTTTCCTCCAAATGTAAAGAGTGCCCCCTTGTCCTCTGTGATGACCTCAGGGTGAATAACTCTACACCGAGTTCACTATATGAACCACTGATGTATTTATACATGTTGATCATAACCCCCCTTAATCTCCTCTTCTCAAGAGAGAATAAATTCAGTTCCTATAATCTTTCCCCACACATGACTAATGTGTAAGGTAATGTCTACAGGCTTGGAAAAATCAGTATGTAAATGGATAGAAAACTGGCTAAAAGATTATATTCAGAGAGTAATGGTTAATGATTCATACTCTGAATGATCTGGGGTCATCAGTGGTGTACCCCAAGGTTCAGTGTTGGGATCCTTACTTTTTCTTATATTTATAAAACAATATAGGGTCTGGGATTAAAAATCCCATTTCAGTCTTTGCAGGTGACACCAAGCTGTGCAGTGGAATAACGTCCTTACAGGATGTCTCCAGTTTACAAGCCGACCTCAATGCACTGTTTAATATCTTAATAGAAACATTCTAGGAGACAAATTAAATAAATAATATTGTTTATCAAGCTTCATTTCAAAATTATATATGAGATAAAACATATATAAAAATATCATATATCACTAATATTAATAAAACAATTGATGTCCCACTCTATATTAAACCCAAATGGACTAATAGTTTTCATATTCTAAATTTACTTGGCCTTCATCTTGGAGATTTCCCTTCTAGTATTACTACCCCACCAGTGTGGAGAAAAACTTGTCATTCCCTATTATTTTAAGACCTCCTCTCAGATTCTTAGTATGTGCCTAGGCAAAATGTCTAGAGAGGCTATAGACTAAAAGTGAGAGATCTTCTCCCAGCACTTGCTGTCACAATTCAAAAGCCCACACGACTGTGTCATTCAATCACAGTTTCCTGTGAATGAATGAACTACAACTACCATCAGCCATTGCGGCTGATGACTTGTAGTTCTGAATGTACTACGAGGTCACCGATGGAGCAGTCTTGTATTTCATTCATAAGCCACGCAGCTTGTAAACAGTCAGCCCGTATGAAGGTGGGGTGCAGTGCTTTCCAGGCTCCTTAGGGGAAAAAATACATTCGCATTTTTTTTTCTGCAAAAATATGTACATTTATTATTCTGAACTGATCCTTTAAAATGTGCTTGACACTGCATTGTAATTTATCTGTAAACAAAATTACCTAACAGTCAAACTGTCTCTTCCTTGTGCCTTTGCTGCACACATGAGTTATCAATGATTTAATCCTATTTGTGATTGGTTGTTATATTGCTTGACAAGCTCTGAAAAACTCTTATCCTTCTGTGGAAACTTAAAGTATATTCTGAACTTTTTTTTCATTAATTTACTAAAATTTTGTTGCTTATATCGCCAGAATAGAAAATGGTAGGAATCCTGAAATAATTGACTGTAATATAAATATGACAGACTTGGATATATTTTCACCAAAGTTATTTGTGCTAGAGTATTAAACAGGGTGTAATCAATGTGTGAACAGTGAACAGAATAGTGTTAGTGGGGGATTCATGCAAAACACACAGCTTTACGCCCTCAGGTAGCATGCACCCCCCCCCCCCCCCTCTCTCTCTCTCTCTCTCTCTCCTCTCTCTACTCTCCTTCCCAGTGTTAAATATTATGCACTCAGGGGTGTGGAAATTTTTTAAAAAAACACTTGTCCAAGGACTGAATCAGGGTTCCAATTTACTTGTCCGCCATGACAATCTACATTGTCTTAGAACCCCCAAACATTTTTTTTTAAAAACAGAGTCCCTTGAGAATAAATTGTTGGGTTTTGAAATTTTTTATGTAACACAGTATTTACGCAGCAGTTTTTCAAGCACAGTTTTTTTTTTTTTTTAAAATACACTTTTTTGAATTTTAATAAAAAAAACACAATACTAAACCTAATTTTTTAGTAAAATATAAAAGATGGTGTTACGCTGAATAAATAGATAACAAATATGTCACACTTTAAAATTGGGCATACCAGTACAGCGGCAACAAACAATGTATATTTTACTATCCATAGGCAACGCTTTAAACCACTTCCCGACCGGCCGTTGTATATAAACGGCCGGACGGTGGCACTGCAGGGTCGGTGGTCGTCTATAAACGGCCTCCCCGCACCCTGCTTGTGCGCGCTCCCTGGGAGCGCGCAGCACCGCGATCCGGTGCCCGCTGTGTCCTCCGGACACAGTGAAACACCGATCGTCGGACGGGACCTCTGTACGAGGTCCCGATCATGTGATCACTGATTGGCCAATCAGTGATCACATGCAAAGTAGTAAGCAAGATGTCACTTCTGACATCATTGCTTACTATGTGTGAAATCTGTGAATGATCACAGAGGTCACATGGTACAAGGCTATTCACAAAAGCCTTGTACCATGTGACAAGCTGTGACCAATCACAGCTCACTCAGTTCTTCTCAATGAGTGCAAGAATGCACACAGAGAGAAAGAGAAATGATTGCTTTTACATCCTATATGGGTGTAAAAGCAATCAGTGTAAAAAAAAAAAAAAAAAAAATCTTCATCACCCCTCACAAGTAGTACAGTGTCACCATGGTGACACTGTACTGCTAGGGTGACAGTATGTAAAAAAAAAAAAAAATAAATAAAAAATAATAATATAAAAAAAATAAAATAAAAATGTAAAAAAAAAATGTTTAAAAATTATAATTTTTGCTTATAAACTAATTTGGATTTTTTTTTTTTTTACTAAAAAGATAACGGAATAAATTTTGGCTAAGATTTATGATGAAATATTATTTATTTGCAAAATTTTATAAAAAAAACACTTTTTTTCAAATTTTTTGAACATTTCATTTACATAGCAAAAAAAATACAAATCCCAGTGGTGAATAAATACCACCAAAATAAAGCTTTATCTATCTCAAAAAAAATGGTAAAAAATTCATTTGGGTACAGTGTTGCATGGCCGCGCAATTGTCATTCAAAGTGTGATAGCGCTAAAAAGCTGAAAATTGCCCTGGTCAGGAAGGGGGTAAAAGTGTCCGGTCTGGAAGTGGTTAAAAGCCTTTACAGGTTACCAGCTTAGATGTACAGAGGAGGTCTGGTACTAGAATTACTGCCCATGATCTGACATTCTCGGTGATGCATCACATGTGTGGGCCGATTGCTGTTTGCATGTGTGCAGGACCGACGCATGCGTTTGCCTTTGGGTGCGGGGACGGGGGATGCTTTAAAACATTTTTTTAAATTATTTATTATTTTAACACTGCCTCTTTAATTTTTGTACGTAAACATCCCTTGTGCTAGCAATAGGCAGCGACAGGTACTCTTTATCAAGAGATCTGGGGTCAATAAGACCTAGACAAGATCAGTGTGATCAAATGCTTTCCATTTATAAAAATGGCGCCATTTACATCCGGGGAAAATTATATGTGATGTATGCTCATTGCTTCCTGTTTCCAATATCGTAGAGGCGGAACAGAGTGGTTCCCGACTTTGTCCGCCTTTATGATCAGCCGGCGGTAGCGCCGGATGGTCGATTGGGTGTCCTAGTGCGATGCGACAGCTCGTGGAAGGAGATGTCCCCTCCGCTGTTTGTAAAAGCGATCCAGTGGCTAGTTTGCCTCTCGAATCTCTTTTACAAGAGAGTCGACTGTCGGCTCTAATTCCTACAGCTTGCCCACAGCGGGGCTAAACATAAAGAAAAACCTCTTGCCTGGCTCCCAGAACCGCATGTCCCAGGCGTTGGGTTATAGGAATTGCACATACCTGGCACATTTTATAGGCCCTTTTTTTCCTATCTTCTGTTCCAGTATTGCACACCTCTACAATGTGGCCTCTTCTCTCATAGTACTTTTTTTCTGCATGTCTGCTCCTCACTCAGTATCTTTGAGTTTTTCACAGGTACATTTTTTTTAGCACTCTCTTTTTCCATTGCTCTGTACCTCTTCATTACCTTTCCCTAAGCACCCCTATTCTGCTTTTCCGTCCTGCACTCTAAGCCGCTTCTTATCAAAGGTTTCATTGCCTCCACACCATCCCTGAACAGCCCTGCTCTCTCCATCCCCAAAGTAACAGCTCTCCTCTTACCCCATAAATAAAATTGACAGATCATCTGTAAGCACAGGAACATGAAAAAGCTCCAATTCAACACTATATGCGGTGACAGATGTTTTACTGCATGGGACACACAGAAAATAATTGTTTCCTATGTGTTCCATTAACACTGCAACGCAGCCTAGCACTGCGCTGCAGCGTGCTACAGTAAAATGAAGATATGCTATGCATTTTTATCGCAGCACACTGGACTGAATCGCTCTGCAATGCCAGGAAGCTTAGCATGAAGTGTACATTTTGTGAAGTAGGCCGGGCTGGCACCATATGGTTAGGAATTGAGAGCTGTTCTGTCATGTCAAAGAGGAAGGAAGGAGCGCATTATATTTCTAGTACATTGGCAGCCATTTTTATGTTGCAGTATGTTTACAGAGATGACACATGGGGGAAGGTGCATGTTCTCCAGAGTTGTACTAAGTGTGATTTTTTTCTTTCTATTTTGTCTTAACATATGCTTTCATTTCTATTGTCATCTAGGGTGGAACTAATGATAATGAAGTTTTCCAGTCTATTGCATTTTCATTAGAAAAAACAGACCCAAATTTGGCACATGCAGTCCGGAGTATCTACACTTCGCAAAGTGGGTGACACAGTACATATTTACAGTATATAGTTTTTAGTGTTTGTCATAAGTGTACTATGGCCATTATTAAATACCTGTATATAAAAAACACAAACTTTTGCGGTAGATGCATGATGACATCTAAATCAAAAAATAATTAATTAAAATAAATTATAATAAATGCTGGGGTACTTCTATACAAATAAATATAATCAACAAAAAGAACCTTCAAAGTGATTCAGTAGCGCAATGAAATATATCTGTGCACAAAGATAAACAAATTAGTGACTAAAAAAAGTGAAAAAAACTAAAGTCCATAAAAAGTCTTTTCCACCAAATGAATCTTCCAATTCCCAAAAGATCACCAAGTGCAATAAAACAGCGTTACCCCTTTCGAGTGTGCACTCACCAGATAGCCATGCCTCCCATTCTCATGGGTGGCTAAAATCGCTTTTTGCATGAATCCAAATGGAAAGGAGATCAATCATAAATGGGTATCATAAATAGGTATTAGTGTGCTAACACCCATTTATGATTGATCTCCTTTCCATTTGGATTAACACAAAAAGCGATTTTAGCCACCCATGAGAATGGGAGGCATGGCTATCTGGTGAGTGCACACCCGAAAGGGGGAACACTATTTTATTGCACGTGGTGATCTTTTGGGAATTGGAAGATTCATTTGGTGGAAAAGACGTTTTATGGACTTTTAGTTTTTTCCACATTTTTTTGATTACTAATTTGTTTATCTTTGTGCACATACAGTTGTACTGTTTGTGGTAGAAATGATATTTCTACATGGCAAATAATTTACTAGCAGGTGTAGTAGAGTAATAGAAACCCAACAGTCATGACATGTATGCTGCTGATTCTGTGTAATTGAATCACTAATTGAAAGGGGCATGTTCAAAATAATAGCAGTGTGGAGTTCTATTAGTGAGGTCATTCATTCTTTCAAAAACAGGTGGCAATTATTGCCCTTATTTAAGGAAGGAAGGCAGCAAATGTTGTACATGCTGGTTACAGTGCATTTCTCTCTGAAATTCTGAGGAAAATGGGTCGTTCCAGACATTGTTCAGAAGAACAGCGTATCTTGATTAAAAAGTTGATTGGAGAGGGGAAAACATATAAATAAGTGCAGAAAATGATAGGCTGCTCAGCTAAAACGATCGCAAATGCTTTAAAATGGCAACCAAAACCTGAAAGATGTGGAAGAAAGTGAAAAAACACCATTCGAATGGATAGAAGAATAGCCAAAATAGCAAGGACTCAGCCAACAATCAGCTCCAGGAAGTTCAAAGAAGGTCTAAAGTTCCCTGTGAGTACTGTTACAATTAGAAGATGCCTATGTGAAGCCAAGCTATCTGCAAGAAGCCCCCGCAAAGTCTCACTGTTGAAAAAAATACGCGATGAAGAGGTTACAATTTGCCAAAGAGCACATTGACTGGCCTAAAGAGAAATGGCGCAACATTTTGTGGACTGATGAAAGTAAGATTGTTCTTTTTGGGTCTAGTGGCCGGAGACAGTTTGTCAGACGACCCCAAACACTGAATTCAAGCCACAGTACACTGTGAAGACAGTGAAGCATGGTTGCGCAAGCATCATGATATGGGGATGTTTCTCATACTACGGTGTTGGGCCTATTTATATCGCATACCAGGGATCATGCATCAGTTTGAATACATCAGAATACTTGAAGAGGTCATACTGCTTTATGCTGAAGAGGAAATCCCCTTGAAATGGGTGTTCCAACAAGACAACGACCCAAACACACCAGTAAACGTGCAACATCTTGGTTCCATACCAAGAAAATTGACGTTATGGAGTGGCCAGCCCAATCCTCGGATATTAATCCAATAGAAAACTTGTGGGGTGACATAAAAAATGCAGTTTCTGAGGCAAAACCAAGAAATAGAGAAGAACTGTGGAATGTAGTCCAATCATCCTGGGCTGGAATACCTGTTCACAGGTGCCAGAAGTTGGTTGATTCCATGCAACACAGATGTACAGCAGTTCTCAGAAACAGTGCTTATACAACTAAATATTAAGTGATTCAAAGGAAAGCAAAATCTTCAAACATTTTTCAGTTTATATAGTGAATGTTTGAGTTTGTAAAGAATACAAACACTGCTATTTTTTTTTGAACAGTGTAATATTCACTTTTCTTCAATTTTTTTTAGAGGAACAACACAAATTTGATATATTTTTCTTCATGTTTTGATTTGGAATAGAATGTGTAATGTTCCCAATGCATTTGTGTTGTATGGAAATAAAAGCTATTAGAAGGATTTTGAGCTTTATTCACTTTTTTCAACACACTGCTATTATTTTGAACACAACTGTATATATTCCATTGTGCTACTGAATCACTTTGAAGGTTCTTTTTGTTGATTATTATTAAATACCTAGTTATTAATAAAGTGTGTGTAAAGCCAAAAGGGTTTTTTTGTAGTTTTGGGTAGTGTGAAAGGGTTGCATACCCTGTCAGATCCTAATTGCTGTCTGTAGCTCCGCCTCTATTTGTTTTTTAGTAACTGTCACAGTAACATGAAATGATGGGTAATCCAAAATTCAATAGTTGTCCCCAGAACAGGAGGCGAAAGGAAAATGGGGACACACATCCTGGTGACAACTGTCTAAGATGGGAATTTCCCTCACTGTGGATAGAACTCCTCACATTTCCTGTTGCTTATCCAAGACAGGA